TCTAACTGAGTTGCCCCAGCCACTCTTGGGCGCCTTCCAACAAATGAAAACATCAAGCACAGTAAAACGTCAAACATTAAAAACTTCCCTATACGGGGCTGCCTTCAGATGTTTCCTAAAAGTAAGATAGTTGTTTATTTCCACAGGGCATCTGCCACTACTGAGAAGGCCCTCTGCCTGGTTTCCTGTAACCTCATTTCTTGCAATGAGAAAAACGCCAGAAGGCTCTTGGAGCTAGATAGGGGGCCACCACTGAGAAGGCCCTCTCTCCAGGTGCCAACCACTATAACCCAGTTGGCAGGAGCAAAAAAACCCCAGAGCCTTGGTGATGTGGGCCATGGGTATCTGCCTTATATAGAATCAGACTCAATGGTCCATCTAGCTCAGCATTGTCTTATATGGTCCAACAGTGGCTCTCCAAGGTTTCAGGCAGTGGACATTCCCAGCCTCAACAGCAGATGTTGGGGATTGAACCTGGGACCTTTGCATGCAAATAATAATAATAATAATAATAATAATAATAATAATAATAATAATAATTTATTTATTCCCTGCCCATCTGGCTGAGCTTCCCCAGGCACACTCTGGGCGGTTCCCAGTCGAGTGTTAAAAACAATACAGCATTAAATATTAAAAACTTCCCTAAACAGGGCTGCATTCAGATGTCTTTTAAAGATAAGATAGCTGCTTATTTCCTTGACATCTGAAGGGAGGGCATTCCACAGGGCGGTCTCCACTACTGAGAAGGCCCTCTGTCTGGTTCCCTGTAACCTCACTTCTCGCAATGAGGGAACCAAAACAACAGATGCTCTACTACCGAGAACCAGGAGATCCTTTTGGCAGCCTGGTTCCATCATCCCTGACCACTGGCCATGCTGGGTGGTGCTGATGAGAGCGGGAGTTCCAACAACATCTTTAGAGATGCAGGTTTCGCTATCCCTGAAATAGCGGCCTGTGCTCCATCAAGCAGAGCACATGTCCCCCTCCCCACAAAAAATCCGAGACTGGGAGGAAAAAGCCACCAGGCCAGAAAACATGATTTGTGAGCCCCGCTGATTCTCATTTGAAAAATTAAGTACTGCAGTCTTCTGAAGGCTTCATACAGGAAACCTGATGTTTAGCATGGATGTGAGGAATACTAAATAGACACTCAAAGCCACTTACCCTCCCCGACTCTCCTGCTTTACGGACTCACTTGGAGGGAACTAATAATTGAACTTCTATACCAGGGAAACAAAGCAAGGAAATGAGTCTATGATTGCGGCAAGGCCCCAACACGGATGCTGAATGGCTTTGTTAAACCTTCGGTGGCCCCTAGCGACTTTGCAAAACCCAGTGTAATAAACACACCACGCTTCCACTTTAGTGCTGACCTCCTTCGAGTGTGCCCCTGCCTTTATTCAAATTTCCTTACCTCCGCTTTTGATTTCCACCCTCGTCCCTAATCTGAAAGTCCAATCCCTCCTGGGTTAAGAAAACCAAGCCTACGGTATTTATCGCCCCAGGTGCCCTTCTGCTTTCCTCGGCTTGCTTTAGGTTCCTGGAATCCCCTCCCCAAACAGAAATCTTGATAGGTGCGTTATCATCCTTCAGGACGACAACCACAGGGCTCGCCTCCAAACCAAGTCACTAATATGGAACCAGACATTCTGTTGCACATTCTCCCAACAAAGGAAAGGGCAGCAACTCGAGGGCAGAGCTGGTCTGCAGGTAAAGGGTGCCAAATTTAAGCCCCAGTTAACCTCTAGTTAGGGACGCGGGTGGCACTGTGGGTTAAACCACAGAGCCTAGGGCTTGCCAATCAGAAGGTCGGCGGTTTGAATCCCTGCAACGGGGTGAGCTCCTGTTGTTCTGCTCCTGCCAACCTAGCAGTTTGAAAGCACGTCAAGTGCAAGTAGATAAATAGGTACCGCTCCAGCGGGAAGGTAAACGGTGATTCCGTGCGCTGCTCTGCTTCGCCAGAAGCGGCTTAGTCATGCTGGCCACATGACCCGGAAGTTGTACACCGGCTCCCTCAGCCAATAAAGTGAGATGAGCGCCGCAACACCAGAGTCGGTCACGACTGGACCTAATGGTCAGGGGTCCCTTTACCTTTACCTAACCTCTAGTTAAAAGGATCCGAGATGAGAAAGGCCTAGATCCGAGGCCCTGGAGAGCTGTGGCTGGTCAGAGAAGTTTTGTTTACTACAAAACAAAACCGGTACCAGGCACAATCCTGCATTGCACGGGTTGGACTGGATCAGGCTTACTCAACCTCGGCCCTCCAGATGTCTTCAGCCTACAACAACTCCCATGATCCCTAGCAAGCAGGACCAGTGGTCAGGGATGATGAGAATTGTAGTCTCAAAACATCTGGAGGACTGAGTTTGAGGAAGCTGGATGATCCTGGATGCCCCATCCGACTCTACAATTCTATGATCAGAACATAGCCCTTCTGGATCAGGCCAAAGGCCTATCCAGTCCACCTTCCAGTCACAGTGGTCAACCAGATGTTTATGGAAAACCCATGAGCAGAACACAGCGCAGGATCTCTCTCCTAACGTTGTTCCCAGCAAATGGAATTCAGAGGCACAACCCTGCCTTTTCCAAAGCTGCAGCACATCTTCATCTTAACCCTAGCATCCAGGTCTGCTGCTGTTCTTCAGTCTGATCGCCTTTTGGGTAAGCAAAGATCTGTGAACCGCCCTGAGACTCCTGGGCAGAACTGTAGTTTCCCCATAAACTAGGGCTGCTATACGTCCAGATATTTCTGGACATTGCCGGGATTTCAAAGGCGGGATTGAAAAATTGAAAGGTGGCCTTTGGGGGCCTTCCTTAAAAAACAACAACACCTCAACAATGTTTGGGGTGTCCTGGTTTTTAGTTTTTGGAAATATGGTAATCCTATCGTCAACTACAATTCTCAAAACTACAGTTCCCAGGATTCTTTGAAAAAAGTCACCTGCTTCAAATGCATAGTGCATACGTAGCCTAGGAGAATACAGAAGCCTGACTAGCCACTGACTGCAGCTGCTCCATTTGATACAGGACAAATCATAAGAGGTCTCTGCCTCGAGGGGCCTCCAGATGTTAATCTTATCATTCCTGACCGCTGGGCATGCTGGCTGAGTCTTTTAGAGTCCCAACAGCCTTGGGAGGGCCACACGTTCCCTATTCCTGCTCTTAAGTAGACAATGCACAGGACTGGACTGTTTGTGACTGAGACTGTTCCTTGCAGGGTCTGGTTGGGGCAGGAAGAGAGGGAAAGGTTGTTGATGGCACCAGGTAAATGGTAGAGATCATCAGAGATTATCACAAGGCCCCAAAAGGTTTTAACTAACACAGACTGGAGGATTAGCTCCAATCCAAAAGGTGCGGAGATGTGAGCAACTGGGCAAGTCTGTCTGTAGGAGAACGTTTTTCCCATTATCTTTTCATCTGCTCTGTTAATCAGAGCCAGCAGGGGATTCGGGTTTTGTGAAGGGGGATTGGAGTAGCTATGCACAAAATAACTTCAAGCCACCCATACAATATCCCCAAGCCAAGCGGTGCTGGGAGCTTGAGAAACGCAGGCGCTTTGGTGCATTTTCTCGGCCACCTCGCAGCTTATTGCAAATTCAGAGATCTAAATCAGAGCAGTCAGCCTGTTCCCCCAGGTTTAGCTTGATCTGGGGCCAAGAAGACACTTAAATATCTGGCATGTGCAGGATCCCAGCAGCTTGTAGACAGCTGGTTGTATGCAGGTGTGTGTGTGTGTGTGCATATATATATATATATATATATATATATATACACACACACACATATATGCTGGTTTTACTGTATGTAGGCATTATTATTTTTTGCTTAAAATACTGCACATCACTTTGAGTTGCCATAGCAAAAAGGCAACTAACAAATTTAATTAATTAATTGATAATATAATAATTTGGATATTTTTTTTTACTTACTGATGCAATCACGAGCACAAATCACAAATGAATATACAACCAAAGGGAAATCTGGGAGCGGCAGGGCAGGGGGGTGCATTTGGCTATTACCGTAAACGTGAATCAGTTTTCCTGCCATCTGAAGATGAATTATTTTCCAAGCTCTTCCCCGCAATGAGTCCAAGGTAAATCTGGAATCTTAAACCCAAATCTAACTCATGAGCCTTCACCCATATTTGACCTTCCCTGAGTTCGTTAATGTCTGGCAGAGGTTCATACAGGAGGCAAGTTGAAAGCAGTAAGACATCTGCAAAGCAAATGAGCTTTTCTGGTTAGTGCATGCTGGCCTTACCAACCTGAGCTGAGTTTACGCCTCTGGTCGTGAATGTATCCTCAGCACAAAATATTATTTCGTGCTATGTCTCCATCCCCCATGCACATATCATCTATACCTGACTGGAGGTGGGGGTTGATTGGGACCAATGTAGGGGAAAGCGTTAAAAGTCCCTTTTATTTATGCTGTAGTCTGCACCATAGGGATGCGGGTGGCGCTGTGGGTTAAACCACAGAGCCTAGGACTTGCCGATCAGAAGGTCAGTAGTTCGAATCCCCACGACGGGGTGAGCTCCTGTTCCTCAGTCCCTGCTCCTGCCAACCTAGCAGTTCAAAAGCACGTTCAAAGTGCAAGTAGATAAATAGGTACCGCTCTGGTGGGAAGGTAAATGGCATTTCTGTGCGTTGCTCTGGTTCGCAGCTTAGTCATGCTGGCCACATGACCCGGAAGCTGTACGCCAGCTCCCTCGGCCAATAAAGCGAGATGAGCGCCGCAACCCCAGAGTCGGTCACGACTGGACCTAATGGTCAGGAGCCCCTTTACCTTTAGTCTGCACCAGATTCCACACACACCTGAGGCCTCCCTTTAATTTAAAAGCAGGTAGGGGCACCCAAACAATCATTGCTCCTTGTGTCATTTCTGTCACATCTCTTTCCACCACAAGCTTGGCTACAGACAAGAATGCCCATTAGTGATCTCTTCGCAGGCATCAGAAATTTTGTAAACTTGCTTTTTAAAGACAGGGATTCCCCACTTACTTCATTGGCTTAAACAAGGCTTGCCCGTAATTCTGGAATGTCATTATCAGTTTGAGCTGGGTGCCTCCTGATTTCATTGCTGTAGAGGAAAGGGAAAGCAGAAGGGGAGAAAGAAAGAGAAAAATAGTTAAACCATGCCTGTACAGTTCAATAGACACCCAGCAAATTTTTAATACTGAAATGTCACAGTTAACCACCTGCAGCGAGAAAGAAGGGTTATTTATAGGTCAGTCAGCATCAAAAACACAGCGGTGCCATTTTTAACACTGGGAAGGTTTTTTTCATGTGTGGTCTCCTTGAGAGCTGGATGAGCTTGTCAGTTTCGATTTCTCCCAGTTGCTCAGTTTTCAGTCTCAACTTCACCAGATTTCCACATCAGTTTGTGAATTATTAGTACTGTTATTTTAAAAAGCCCTCATGAAAATTCATCAGCCTTTTAGCACACATTTTCCTAGCACGTGCAAGCAGACTTCCCTTGCAAGCATTTTAGTACATGGTTTCCACAAATACATGCATTTCTGTGCATATGGTATATGCATATTCCCCTAATATATGCAATATATGAAAACTTCCCTTGCAAGCATCTTAGCACATGATTTCCACAAATACATGCATTTCTGTTCATATAGTATATGCATGTTCCCCTAATATATGCATTCTTATTCTCTTTTGTTGTTATTGGGAAAACTGGATTGCAAAATCTGGAAAAGGGGAAGTTTGTAAGGCAATGTGCACTTTGGTCTCCATATTGGATAGGTTCATACTGAAGAAAGAAGTGAACCAATAATTATCCCCCATTCCTAGCTTCCACTCAAGGCAAGGTTAAGAACAGAAGAATAGCCAGTTTAACTATGCCATTGACCCATCTAGTCCAGCATCTTGTTCTCACAATAGTAAACCCCAAATGCCTGTGGGAAACCAGGACACAGAACATGAACACAAGAGTACCCTTCCCATCCTATTTTTTCCAGCAACTGGTACTGTATTCAGAGCATTGCTGGCTCTAGCTGAGGAGGTAGATCATAGCCATCATGGCTGGCAGCCACTGGCAGCCCTTTCCTCCATGAATTTACAAAAGTAAGGCCACATCTTCAAGTGCCACTTGGCAAGGACGTGCCAAGCAGTGTCTTCAGGAAGGAGGGTGATGCTAAGTAAAGTCCAGATCCAGGAGAATGTGGCTTGGCAAGGTATATTCAGAGCCAGACAAGTCTCATCAGGACCACGGATAGCTCCCAGTGGGTTCTTTTGCTGGCTCTATTGTAGGTAATGGGGGGAATGTTACCTTAGCAAAGAGCTGTATCCATTGGAAGCCCCATGAAGGCTAGCGAGCATGTCTTCTAGAATTGGACCCACCTCCCTGGAGAAGCTTTGCTCCTCAAAGAACCATTGCCTGTTTCTGGAATCACTGGCTTCTCCAGGACAGAGGTTAAAGGGGCAGTCCTCAGAGTCTGAAGAAGGCAAAGCGGGTGTTGTTCCTAAGCTGGGAGAGTACAGGAGATGCTGACCCCCCCAAACAACAACCCCCCCCACACACAAACCAACAGGGTTAAGCATCTTAAGAATATTAATAAGAGCCTGTTGGATCAAGCCAAGAACCCATCTAGTGCAGCATCTTCTTCTCACTGTGGGTGACCAGATGCATATGGGAAGCCCATAAGAAGGACCAACTCTTCCAACTTGTGATTCTCAGCAGCTGGTTTCCAGAGGCAAACTGCCTCCAGCAGTGAGGTTGGACATAGCTACGATGGCTAGTAGCCACTAGCCTCATCTCCCATTTTTTCTTCCTTATTTGGATTCTCTTTGGAGGCATTGCAGGCGGGGCTGGGTTCAGGGGTGGTAACACATATGCACAAACACACAAGTCATCACACCAGCAACAGACAACATGTAACAAGCTGCACCTTAGCTTTTAAAAGCACTATCTTCAAAGCTGATTCTGTCAGGCAGCTTAGTGTGTGCAATTTCGTCCTTTCTTTAAATAAATAAAATAAAAAAACCCTTCCTTCCAAAGGTCAGATAACCCACATCTTTTGGAGAGCTGACAAAAAAATAATCCAGATTTATTTTTGGGGGTGTGCGTGCGTAAATAAATGTCACATTATTCTACTTCAGATCTGTTGTCCTTCAGCTTCTTTGGCCTTGTGCGTTTTCTCTCCCTGAACCAATGATATTAGCTACACGTCCTTTTAATTACTCCTCTCGGTGCTGTGTTACTGATAGGTCACCAGCTTGTAATCTGTCCTTTTCCCTCCTCCTTTCTTTTCTGCGCTACAAAATGCTATGCAAATCCGGTCAGTTTAATTACTCTTCGGCTCGAGCAAAACAGTCCCTCCAGCCTCGCTGTTTTCTGCTGACCTTAGCCTTCTCTTGCATTACCGACCCATCCCACAGGAACAAATAAATAATTAGAAATTAAAGTGCATTAAGCAATTTGCACCGAATAGGCAGAGCAGGAACGCACAGGTTTCACATATTAGATGAAGTTGGTGGTGCTGAGTAGGCCAAAACTCGGAATGCATTTCAGGGGAGAAAAGCATGCTGTCATTTTAAAGAAAGCAAAACCTCATTTCCAGTACTCGAAGCAGCTGCCTGAAGTCAGGTCTCTTGCAAATGCACAGCACATGGTAACAAAATTTCGCCATACATTGCCAAGGCTGCTTGAGAACACGCCGTGTGTCCTCATTTCAACTCTCTTCACTTGTTTATAAAACAAGTGGCACCTGAAACAAAATGTTGTTTGGTGGGCTACTTCTGTTCAGGGGTCCTTCCAGCCAGCCAGCAATTCCCTTTCCAGAATACAGTGGTACCTCGGGTTACATACGCTTCAGGTTACATACGCTTCAGGTTACAGACTCCGCTAACCCAGAAATAATACCTCGGGTTAAGAACTTTGCTTCATGATGAGAACAGAAATCGTGCGGTGGCAAAAGGCAAAACCCATTAGCTAAAGTGGTGCTTCAGGTTAAGAACAGTTTCAGGTTAAGAACGGACCTCCAGAACGAATTAAGTACTTAACCCGAGGTACCACTGTACTCCATTCCCTTTCATTCTCCCTCTCTGGTTTTTCATGTCCTCTTGATGATCAATCAGTCAGCATTTCACAGCAACTACCACTTCTCAGTCCCCATTTGGACTTGGGGTTATTGGGGAAGGGTTGCCCTAGGGTCTGCCAAAGGTTTTTTGAGTGCAAAATTTGGGGTTTCTCCAAGCCTGCTTATGCGTCCCTATTGCCTTTGGATGATTCTGTGCTGGCTTTATCAATATCCAGACTCAAATAATGAGTCAGCTGCCAATGTATGAAGATTATCAGCTTGTGGTACCATGCAGGTGGGCTTTTTCACTGATGGCGCCAGTGTTGCGGAATACCCCCCCCCCTGAAATCAAAGAATCATAGAACTGTAGAGGTGGAAGGGACCCTGAGGATCATCTAGTCCAACCCCCCGCAATGCAGAAATATGCAGCTGCCCCTTATGGGGATTGAACCTGCAACCTTGCCATTATCAGCACCATGCTCTAACCAACTGAGCTATCCAGGGAGTAAATACAAGAGGCATTGTTAATGTTGGTATTCCACCTCATCCTGAAGGCACACTCGTTTGGGCAAGCAGAACTTCTGGTTTTATTTTATTTTTATTTTTAATTTATTTATTAAATTTGTACGCTGCCCCTTCATCCACAGGTTTCAGGACAGTTCAGCTTTCTTTAAACCTTTTTAACTGCTATGCTTTTTAATTGTGGATTTCTTATGGCGTATTTTTTTACTATGTATTGATTTCACTGTTGTAAAATACTTAGAAGCCATTTTGGCAGTATATGAATTAATGAATAAGAATAATCATGCAGAACAGGAGTGCGAAATCTTTTTTGGACTAATGACCACATTCGTTACTGGACAATCTTTTAAGCGCTACGTGCCAGTGGCAAAATGAGCCAGGCAATGGATGCAAATTTTGTACACTAGGGTAGTTTTTTTACACACATGCATGAAACCCTCTCTAGCCTCCATCCAGAGCAGGGGTCAGCAAACTTTTTCAGCAGGGGGCCAGTCCACTGTCCCTTAGACCTTGTGGGGTGCCGGACTATATTTTGTTTGGGGGAAGAACGAATTCCTGTGCCCCACAAATAACCCAGAGATGCATTTTACATAAAAGTACACATTCTACTCATGTAAAAACACGCTGATTCCTGGACTGTCCGTGGGCTGGATTGAGAAGGTGATTGGGCCAAATCTGGCCCCTGGACCTTAGTTTGTCTACCCATGATCCAGACAAGCAAAAGGCATTATCACTGTCAATATGACCATAGTGATTCATTTTTTGGCACTTACAGGCTCTTGACTATTCCTTGTCTATGAAAACACTTGCAGAATCATCCATCCTACCAGGTCGATTTTGGACTTTCCCCAGCAAACACAACTGATACCTTGAGCAATCATCCACCCAGCAGCTTAGCATTCTCCTGGGAATTTGACAAAAGAACGAAAGTGACCAGTCCCTGCCCAAACCTCCTGCCAGCGACAAAATACAAAACCATTAACCAAACTACAAATACATCCAGAAAAAGCCAAATATATAGCTGTAAGAACCTTAGCCATGAGAGATAAGCTCAGGTCAATGTCAGAAAGTCCTTTGGCATTTGGCCACACACAGCCTGATAAATGGGACGCGGGTGGTGCTGTGGTCTAAGCCACTGAGCCTCTTGGGCTTGTTGATCAGAAGGTCGGCAGTTTGAATCCCTGCAACGGGGTGAGCTCCTGTTGATCTGTCCCAGCTCCTGCCAACCTAGCAGTTCAAAAGCACGCCAGTGCAAGTAGATAAATAGATACCGCTCTGGTGGGAAGGTAAACAGTGTTTCCATGCGCTGCTCTGGTTTCGGTGTTCTGCTGTGCCAGAAGCGGCTTAGTCATGCTGGCCACATGACCTGGAAAAACTGTAGTCGGGCAAATGCCGGCTCCCTCAGCCTGTAAAGCGAGATGAGCACCGCAATCCCAGAGTCGTCTGCGACTGGACTTAACTGTCAGGGGTCCTTTACCTTTTTTACCTTTTTAGACTGATAAATACACACTCATTTTACATCATG